CCCGAGCAAAGCAAAGCAAAGCAAAGGGGGGGGCGGGGGGGTTTCGGTGGGATGTGCTGACCCGACGCTTTCCAGGTCCGAGTGAGGGAGAGGTGCACGGACTTCATCTACGACAGTGATTGGGGCTACTCGGACCCCATCATGACAACCATGCCCGTCCAAGCCGGCGTGCCCGCCGCCCCGACCTCAGCTTTGACAGGGGCTCTGTGAGTCTCCTGCCGTTGATTTCAGAGCTCGGAAGCCCTGAGGACATGCGCATCGTTCCCAACTCCATCACGGCCTTCTTTTTCGACGTGTCCTGGCAGGTGCCGCCGGAGTTTCGTCGAGAACTGCTGCATGCCTTTAGACTCCTATGATCAGCGATCGAGCTCACTAAGTGCATGCCCCAAAGCGTGAAATGTTTCTAAGAGGCCTCTCGTCAGGGTGTCTCCTTGCGGATCTTCACCTGCTGTTTTCTAACCAGAGATCGAGGCCTCGAGCATCGTATGGTAGTTCCTTTCTTCTCGCGGACTTGATGCTTCTGCACCCCACATGTCACCCCAAGACGCCGACTTGCTGGCATGAAGCCGCAAAGATGGCTCTTTGTGTAACATCCTTTTCTCAATAATGTGTAGCATCTACGGAGACGACTACTTTGCATGACCTGGCATCGTGTGGGCCTCACCTTCGCAAGCACCTACTCCTCGAAAGAAGTCGGCTTTTCAGGCCGGAGCCAGTGGGCAGTGCATCTTCAAGGAGTGGGTGGGGCGCCCGGTGCTTCAAGCAGGCTTCGACTCACTGCGACAGTGTGCATCTAGCGTAGGATCTGAACAGATCAGCGGCGAAGCTTACCTCTCGTGCCTCTGCGGTCCTGTCATGATGCGGTCGGCAGCAGGGCCCCCTATTCTGCAGCGTCCCAATCCAAGCGGCACGTTTGGAGCCCGACGTCCTATCGAACCCTCGAAACTCTTTCTTGAACATTCGTGGGTCCACGCTATGAACCATCAAGCAAACCCTGAGGTCATGGAGGTGTACCAAACCTCCCCAGATCCCGAAGATTGGGCCTTCGCGCCGCTGCCCTCGCTCCAAGACCCTCCGGGCGTCTGGGTGACGGGCTCGGTTTCTTTAAGGACTTGGGGGTGTCACGAGTTCATAGCGAGCATGAGCCTTGCAATACATGGAGCAGCAGTAGCAGTAGCAGTCACAGTTGTCATGGTCGTGAGTCATAGCACTAGTAATCTAAATTCGATAGTAGCACAACACGAACGCTTGTCGCAGTTGCGCAAGTAGAAATGGCGGCAACAGCACCAATAGCGGTGAGGCGAAGAGTGCTAGCTCTAGCACTTATAGATGCAGAGTTGACAGGAACCAAGGGATGATCATACTAACCATCGCAACAAGAGAAGGTTTGTCACCGCCACCATGTACCAGGACACCACCACTGCACCACCACCGCCACCACCGCCACC